GACTTGTCATTGCATCCCTGTGGATTATCAAGGGTTACAGGGGCATGGTCTCTGGAAACACATGTTGTTATAAAATCTTTTCTAAATAATTTTTCAAAGATGGTCAAATTAAACTAAAAACTACTGGAATGGCTCGATACCACTAGCTGTAGGTGAAAATGTTGTCTTAGCATTAGCAGTAGTCTAATCCAGCTCTGATCCGGCTGCAGGACTGCGAACAGTAAGAGTTTATTACAGAATTTAGATATGTTAATTAAAGGAACATCTTTATACCATTAGCACTCTTATCTCCCCTGTACAGGAGCTCTGAAAGGCAAGTATAAAAATTGCCTCTCAGAGCTCAAAACAGAGGTCAAAACAAGACTGTAACTCTGTGGTTGTTGGTTAACAGCACTTGTGACACTGTGATATATAAATCTATTCAGTGTTATATCAATTAATAGATTTTGTTGTTTAAAAAGAAGCAAATGTAAAAATTTGTTAAATTATTTGTTTGTATCGTAATTTTTTTTCAAATATGAAATGTTGTTTCATGTGTGGTTCAAATTTGAAACTGTTTTGAAAGTCACATGAGCCTGTAACATGTGGATTTATCACATGAAATGTTGTTACACATATGGTAAATTCATTGTGTACTTTGTATCATTTATAAATTAAAATTATTTGCATAACATATGATGACAGTGTTCTGTCTGTACATAATGTGTTTAATGTGCTGGAAGTGAATTAAATCCAGAAAAGAAGACAGGAAACAGGATGTGTAATACATAGATAAATATATGTAAGTAAATACATTCAAACAGAATAGATTTTTCCAGCTGTCACCGGCGTGTTTACATCAGTGCACAGATGATTCATGACCCACCACAAACCACAAGTTTATACAGTCAGGCAGCATGAGGATTTGGAACTTGTGTTTGGATTATGTCTACCCCAAAAACCTCCCTGTTGCTACTGCAACTCCCAGCCAATTTAATCCCTGCTCTTTACAATCCACTGCTTATATAACTCAGTATCCTCAGACTGTGTCAGTGTAGTACACTGTAAGCATCCAGGAGAGACTGTAGTGTCCTCAGCAGCTGCTGCTTTTCTGTCTGAATCAGGGCAAATGTCGATATCTGATCCAACCCTGATGAGCAACCTCATCAGATTTTTACTGTGTGTAATGTGTTTAATGTGGAAGGGATCAATCAGACTGACAGTAGTACCCCTCAGTTCAATGAGCTTTTAAATCTCTTTCAGCTCATTGTTTTGGTTTTTCAGCCTCCAAAGTTACTGTTGTCACTTACTCTCATTGCTCTCATCATGTCAGCTTTAGTGTTGTGTTTACAGCTTGTTTGCCCTGCCCCCAACTGGTAAACAAGCAAAACGCTAAGGTTAAACTTTTCTTAGGCATCAAGGTTAAATATAACTGTTGATTCAACACTGACTTTTTTGCCTGAAAAATCAGACTGAATTAACATGTTATGTCACTTAATTCATTTTGACATCATGTTCATAGCTTGATTTTTTGTTAGGAGGCAGGTTACTTTGTTCTGCCCCAATCAAACAGTAGTGGATGATAAATACATCCCGCCAAAGTCATTTTATTTTGACACACAAGCAATGGTAGGAGTTGCCAAATGCAATAAATGTTAAAAACTTTATTTTTAACAGAAACCTGCACAGCTGGATCCATTTCATTCAAGACTGTCTGTTGGTGTTTTACTGTTGCTATTTTTCATGTAGCTAAGTATGGGGCTAGAATAGTGACATAAAATTTTGGCATTGAAAATAAAATTTGACATTGAAAACAAAACCTGAACTGTAAAAGAAAACAATGGCAATGAAAAAGAATTATAATCTAACAATCTTATTTTCTTATTCTTATGCTTTTTTATTTTTTTTCAATGTCAATCTTCAGATTTTTTCTTCATATCTGTTTGTTTTCAGTGACAGTTTCTTTCTCTACGCTGTCACTATTTTTCAGTGTCACTGGTTTTGAGGGGAAAAGCAAAGAGTGTGTGATTTATTTACATTCAGAAGCCTGACTGGACTGTATTCCTAGGCAATGGCTTCTAAAAGTTCACCTTGAACTCCCAACCCCCACTCCAACTTTTTCCAATACAAATACCATTGTTTCCTTTTTCAGTTCAGTTGTTTTCAATGCCAAATTTTAATTTCAATGCCAGAGCTTACTTTCGCCATTCTACCCTCATAGCTAAGGAGCTCACTAATTATGTAGGAAGATAACAACCCTTTTCTTAATCTTTCCTACAGAAGTCTGACTGGTTGTTTGATTCACAGCCGTCACTGAGTTCAACACTGAACCTACAGCATTAGAATCAGTGACCAAACTGGAGACGTGGGCAGAGACACAGATTTAACATTGACATCTAGACTGTGATTTGTGTTGGATATCACCAAATCAATAAGAGCACAAAATCAATTTCACTTTAGTCCAGTGATTCACTATCCTCTGTACTTGGGACCAAGAAGAGACACCTCAAACATTGTGTTTTCAAAAATCAAAATTGATGGATCCAACACTCTGCCATCTTTTCAGCTCTGACCCCTCAGAGTCAGCTGCGAACACACTCAATTTAAAAAAAAAAAATATGAAGCCCTCAGTTGGGTTTAGGATTTATCTCATTGGTATATCCCCATGAGAGCCATATATAGAACATTCATGCAGTTAATATCCACAAAGGTCAAAGGTGAATGGCTCCCTGCAGCAGCCGGAGGTTCAGTGGCTCTCCAAGGACACTGTGACTGTGGAGCACATTAACTTTCTGAGAGGCATGACCCTTTGACCTCTGGTTCATGAGGCTGTTTGTCATGTGTGTCCCACACACTTGTGGCATGTCAGCTACAAAAGTATAACCCAACATGACATCTGAATGGTGAAACTTTCTGTGAAATATTTGTTACGAAAAAGAATTAAGTTTGGTACAAGAGTGAAAGCCTAATAATTTATTTTACAGTTGCATGGTCAATATATACAACTGTACGTTAAGAGACTGCTTATTGACATGCTATTTAAGCTGACAGTTGTCTTCAATCAATTTTACTTGATTCTTGCATGAGGCCCAGTGTATCATAAATCCAAAGACAGAAACAATCCCATAACCACAATGTTGGTATGATTAGTGTTTTAAAATGGTCTTGCAAATCAAACACTAAACTTAAATTTGATGGAGGTAACTAAATGCTAATTATACTTATCTGCTAGCTGCTGGCATTGAGTTGGTTAGCATTTTCTGTATGAAGAAAAAAAACATACAGCTGTTTTACAAATAGCCATAAGCAAGTATTCACACCTACAGTGTGATCATAAAATACATTATAAGAGGACAAAAGTCAACCACAGGAAAAAGAAGGTAAATCTGGCTTTCACTCTTGTACCAAACTTGTTCTGAAGCTGGAAGTAAAAGTGAAAACCATCGCAAAGCTGTGGAGGACAGAAGAAGCCGAATGTAATTCAAACCTCTGGTCAGTATATTCCAGTTTCACCTACAGGATCAACACAGCTGAAAAATGAACATACATGTAGTTTTAACTGAATTTATAACAATAGTTTTCACATTCAGTGTCATAAATAGGACATTGCCTGAACATGGCCTGGTAAAAAGTGCTATGTGTAGCATTTTATGAAAAACACAACGACCAATGAACAGTGTAACTTCCTGTCCCGAGGCAGACCACACTCCTTCCTTGTTTCCCCCTCCCCCACCCTGACATCAGTCTCTGAAAAGCTTCTCTCAAAGCTAAATATAGGTAAACAAATATAGAAATGTGCCGTTTTACTGTGTTTTTACCTTTACCGTAAAGAGTTTCACACATTTTTCACGCACAGCTGTGTAAAGCTCTTCTTTGCTAATTACCTTCTATAATTCTAACAGTACATATAGAGGGCCGAGCAAGGCTACCAAGGAATACCAATGTGTCACATGATTTTTGAACTACAGGTTCCTCAAAAGTCCTCTGTCTTAGCCTGCCTCCTTTGCTCAGATGTGGTTTTTGTAGCTCCTTTAGCTCCTGATAAAGTGTCACCTCAAAAACCCAGGAGTGATGATACAGATGCCACATCACTGTTTTCTGAGAGTTTTCCAGTTGAAACTCTGCAGGCTGTAGATCAGGCTACATGCCAGTAAAAATAATGTAAAATACAATGTGGAGTAGAGGTCTTCACAGGTCCAAAAATTTGTGCCCGAATCCAAAAAGACCCAGAAATATACTCCCTGGAACCAAACCAGTCTCTCTGTTACTTGAAAGCAGGGAATCGGACCCATGCAGACCCGAGAAAATGTTGTGAAATGAACCGAGCTGGAAGACAGATCCGATCTGCACTGATTTCTGAACCCATAAAGCCCCCAAGTAGAGTCTTGGGTCCTAGGGTTCAGGTGGACCAGGAAAGACCTCTAGTGCTCAGCCAAATGGTTTCATAAGAAATGGTCCCATTTTATTTGTTTTACAGAAATAATGACTAAACTGAGTCTTTAAATTTTGAAAGAATAAATGACACATTCTTCTTCTCACAAATAAAATGTTGACTTGGCTCAGTTTAACACACTCAGCTGAACTCCTGCTATGACTAGCAGCTTATGGTGGTTAATGTTAGCAAACATTAGATAGATATTGCTTTGTAATTGACATTACTGAATTACAGTCTACTGTTACGCTACTTTTTAGCATTTACCATTATCTTATTACTTCTGGCCACAAAACAGTCACTGCTTAGAAAAAGTTTCAAAAGCTTTAAACCAGTTATTTATAAGTTTTTGCTATTGATATATAGCGAACATTAGCATTAACAGCTACTTACCAGTCTACAAGAAATATTTTGAGTTTAGCTGTCTCCAGCAGTGGAAAGCAATGCTAACGTTCAGCCTTGTTTTGACTCTTGAAGAAGTAGCTGATCAGAGGACATATTATAACCTCTTGTCCAGTAAACGCAACAATGGCCAAAGCTTTTGGCAGAACTGGTAAGTAAACAGCTGTTAACACTATAGTCGGCTATGTAGCAATAGCAAAACTTACAAATAGGTTAATGTCTCATAGTTCATATTATTTATTGATGTTAAAATACTACACATAGCACTGTGAAATATGCTGGAAAACACCTGATTTCCATCCATGAAGTCACAGATCTCAAAGTGAATGATCTCAGTCCGTTTGTCACATTTAATATTCATTTTCATTTCATATATAGAACATATCTGTTTAATTTTATTTATTTGCTTCCTCCATGTCTCCTCTCGTCAAGTCTGTTAATCATCTTCTTCAAACAGAAAATAAGGGCTGCTGTGCTTTTGATTTTGGCGGGAAAACCAGTAGCTGGGTCCAGACCTAAAGGAGCAGTCTGCCTCATCATCTCATCACATCCCATCCCACATGACCCTCCCATTCCCGTGGGTGGCTCAGCACTGCTCCTCCCCCAGAGAGTCAGTGTTCTCCCCCAGGTCTATGGAGGCTGATGCAGCTCGCATCTTGCCCCGTCCGGGACCAGGACCCGGACCCGGACCTGGTCCAGGACCTGGACCTGGGCCCCCGACAACAATCCCGCCTCTGGCTCCACTGTGGCCGGGGTAGACCTCCACAGTGCTGGAGATGGACTGGAGGGAGCGGTCCCGGAAGTAGTGGAAAGCCTCCTGGTCCAGGTAGTTCTGCTCCTCGCGCAGGCCCTGCTCGAACAGCTTCCTTTTGTGTCTAAACTCGATGACCGTCTTGGTGTAGGAGTTGAGGGTGGTGACGGAGGCGGCCATACAACAGGTGAAGGAACCCCAGGCCATGCTGGTTAGAGAGGGACACAGATGATGAGAAGGTGAGTCAGTGAATCTCTCTGCCCATACTATTAGATTTTAGCTATGTTAATGTCAAGGCAGTAACGAAAGAAACAGACTGTAATACCTTGGTACTACAACTATTGGGTAGTTTGCCAAGAAATTTGGGATAGATCATGTTCCCCAGAGAATTAATCCTAATTTTAGCATTGTGATGTTTTCATGTACCTCAAAGCATCGCTGCACAGCCTCACAGAGTTGCCAATAATAAGCTGCCAATAAGTAAAAATCAATATACATATACATATACATACACATGTAAATATATATGCATATACATACATATATATATATATTATCTTATGTCAAAACAGACATAAAAATCTAAAGCCCTGCCAGAGTCTTTTAGAGGCTGCAATGCTAATAACATCCAAAGAATGATTTATCTCTGTAGCTAAAGAAACATAGCTACAAAAGTTTGTATTGAGGTTGGTGCTGTCTGATTTGGATATTTATTGTGTAAAGTGTAATCTTGGACGAGTTATTAAAGGCAAATTTACACCCATTTTTCCTTCTATTTGTGGAGTTTCCCACTGTTGGTGAGACAGTCCACCAATCAGTGCTTGGTTGCCAGGTTTGAGAATAGGGATGTTATGTTTCTGAATAGCTAGCGACATGAATTCACGAGAGTGATGCAGCTGCACAGGTTGTGTAAGTCCACTTCACAGAATTAACAGCTGTTTTATTGTCATATTTCTTCCATGTGACTAAGAGACGACTGATACCATCAAGTCAGCCTGAATGAATTCAGTGAAACGATAAAGCAGTTCAGCTCGTTATCAGTATACCAAAGGGGGAAATTGTATCCTGATGGTGCTGCTAGAGAAGAAGTGACTAAAGGTCATTCATTTATTAGAGTTCAGCTCCTGGGGCCGCTCATGTCCACAACAACTACTGGCCAATATAATAGTTAGTGTGTTGGATGGATGGAGGAAGGAATGATTAGCACATTCTCAGGCCCTGTCACCAGCAGGACAGAAACACTTGAAGGAAGTCAAGAGGTGCGTTATTAGCCAGATGGAAAAAATTCCATTGGGACTGCTCACAGAAACATCTGTGGTGATTCAGTGAATACTCTGAGCTCTTCAGACCTGACCCTCTGCTCCAGTTAGAGTTAGCAGGCACATAAATGATGTGCTGCTAATTGATTGAGAGACTGCTGAGGGCTCTGGGGGGAATGGGTGTGATATTAGTTTGTTAATAGGAAAGCTAACAGTCCATCTGTGCGGAGTCAAACCATGTGCGCAGAGAAATACGTCAAGCAAAGAACCTTAAATATGACGAGCAAAAAAACCATGAAGAGACGCAAGAACAGCATGAAGGGAAATGACTGATGCAGTTCATCATTCTTTATCTTTAAATACAGAACCACAAACTCTGCTGTGACTTACATAAAATTATGAAATATCAAATTACAATCAATCACTTTCCTGTTCACAGTAACGATCCAATAAACAATATCAAACCACAATAATCAATCATAAAGTACCACAATGTAAAACATATATTACATAGATAGATATCAGTCGTTGAAGCTCAAATAACTGTTGTGGCCAAACTTTACTTTTGTGATGAATATGATGCAGTTTGATTGATTATGTATTTATTATAGAACTGATTAGGATGCTAGTGGTTGTCTCAGGCTGTAAACTTTTCAACCCTGCTGGGAACAAATCTGTGGGAATGTAGATTTTTTTTGTTTTTGTAGATTTATTAACTTTATTAGTTTAGCATGAAAAGAGTCCATGATGAATATCAAATAAGTAAGATGTGAGTGCAGATGAAAAGATATATGTTTTTCCTATAATCTAGTCAATAATGGAGGTGGTGAGTTGTGCGGTTTGCATGAGCCACGGTCACAACTATGATAATAGGAATAATAGGAGAATTGTTCCGGTTAAAGCGGTAAATTAATTATGGATTATGGAGGAGCAGCCATGAGGAACAGGACATACACAATCCCAGCTTCAGTGGCCTGTTTTTATTTCAAGCTTGTGGTGAAGGTTTTGCATGTTTCCTGACCCTGTTTTCACCTTTGTCAGGCAGGTTATGAGTTTCAGCAGAGCTTTGAGCAGAACATGTGAGTGCACATCAGTTGTCTATCGTCCTCAGAATAGAGCACATTCAGACTTTTGATTCGTCCTGAAGGAGCTTTTTGGCCTTCTGCTCCACTTCTGCCTCCTGATATTATTCCACTTTAACGACCCTGAACAACTCCCTTATGGTGTAGAAGGAGAGGCCTTCAATCCGATGACTGACAGAGAACATCTACTTTGAACAGGAGCTGGCATTGGTTCACATTTTGTTCTTGTTTTTTGGTCTTTAAATCCTTGTTTGTGACTGTTTCTTTTCTCTGACTATTATTCTTTTATTTAGTTTTTCATAAAGCACTTTCTAATGTTGGCAGCGGTAAGTACAAAGCAACATAAATGTTATTAAAGTGTAGAGTCTAGTCCTGACCTTCAAAGCAGCAGCTGACAAAACAGTCTCACCACAAGGTCCATTTAGTAGCTGCTCAGGTGCTTTTGATTAAATTATTATTTTCATCATGTTTTTAGCCAGCATGGATAAGCAGCCCTTAAAGTGCTCAGAAAATGTTTTTAAATTTAAACATTTACAATATGATGACAAGTGGGAGAATGCCATCTGCTGAGGGAGATTGTGTGATATGAGTGAAAGCTCCAGAGCAACTACTGCTGAGATTTTTTCCAGTTTTAATAATGATGCTTATCACTACAACAAGGTTTTATAAAAAAAAAAAAAAAAATCAAAGGCAGGACACTGGCTTCTGTTTGTCTCTGAGTCACTTTCTCTCTTTGATTCAGAAGTGACCTGAGTGAACTCAGACTACAGCTGCAGCACGATTCTGCCTTCAAGCAGAGACCAGGGAAGGTCAAGATGAGTCTTGTCTGGCTAATTATGTTGGAAACAACAGCCCTGTGTACCTGAACACCGCCTGCTGACACACTCCCACACACATCCAGCAACAGCCATCATAAAGAGAAGATCTGATTCATACAATGCAGGGTCAATACAGGCCTGCATGGACAGCAGTGATACAGTGATATAGTAAAATTATATATACATATACTATATATACAGTATACATGATAGTATATATAGCAAAATGAAACTTCTGGCCAAACATATGCCTTGGTCCTCAACCTGAGTCTAGCCCTCATACTTTCAGAGGATTTTCTGTGTGTGAACCACAATTGGTCCAGATGTGGAAGTAGCATCTGACAAGGTATGGCTGTATATGGGGCAGATTCAGGCCATGTAATCAGGTGTATACTGGGCCAAAAAAAAACCTATCTGTATATCTGTATATATCTGGTATATATTCACACTCTTCTCTCAAAGCTCTCCTCCATGTTGTGGCAAAATGTTAGCCACTCACTCAATACAGTTTACCAATTCTTAATATGGCTCTCACAGGCAGCTTTTATTATTTGCATGTTTTATTTTACTTTGCTGTATCATTTTTTTTCCAATCACTTTCCTTAACACAGTTTCGTCAAAGAACCACAGGAAAGTGTATTCTCAGTGCAAAGTAGAGACTATTTAATGGCATATATAGTTTACACTGGTCAGCCACTACATTAAAACCAGTTCATCTGTTTTAATGTTGTGGCTGATTAGTGTATATTGAAAGTCCTTTCTTCTCAGTTTTGCTAATGTGTTTTAAGCACCCTATCAACCACCTAGAAAACACTAGCAATCACCTACACTGATCAGCCACAACAATAAAACAGGTGACTGGTTTTAATGTTGTTGCTGATTGGTGTGTGCAGAACATTAAGTTACTGTGACATTTTATTCGGAGTCATCACAAACGAAAAGAAAGAAGTGGTCTGAAAAAGAAATCCAGGCTATAGAGAAAACACTCATGGACTGCATCTGCTTTAGGAAGGTTCCAGTGTCTCAAGTGCACTGAGAACTCACCAATAGCACTTAAATGGAGGACTTGGGAGCGATTGAAATTTTATGTAAAAAAAACACATTGATGCTTTAAGGAGAGAAACTGAATGAAACTAAGCTTTGACGTTTGTGCTTGTTTCCTGTAAAGCTGTCCTGTTCACTGTCAGTTATATTTGGCATATCTCATAGTTAAATGTTTTTTACATAACAGCAATAGAGGTATGTTACATTCCTTTGGATTGTAGTGCATATACTATAGGCAATGTGCTACATATGCTTATATATTTTTCTTCCATTTTTTTGAGACTGTTAGACTAGAACAGTATATATTTATATTACACAGTGCAGTCACATTAGCATTTGTAAATGTTTTTGTTGGAAACACTGATAGGTTTTGCAATTAAATAGTAAGTACTGAAATAACAAGTTGATAGTTTTTTTAATATATATGTGACAGATATTTTTGCTGCACTGAACAGCACATTTATATTATAGAGTGCAGTCATATGAGAGGTTGTAGAAGTTCTATTAATCGGTTGGAAGTACTGTAAATTTCCGTTTATTATAGATATCTGAAAGATATTGTGTAATCCCATTACATATGACTTCTAGTTAAATAAACCTTTTATATATATATATTAGAGTGGAGTCCACTGTACACACATCATTAATCAATATACAAATATAAGTGTTATTGGTCAAAACACATACAAATGCAATATGAAAATATTTTTAAAAAATACAGATATAATAGAGGCATTTTCTCTTTTTTGATTCTCCAAAAAATAACCTCCAATGCTTAACTTATACAGGCTTGCGAGGTAAGTAAGATAAGTCCCCTACAGGCAAATGTGTAACAGTGTCACCTGATGGTGGTTTGTGATAAGACAAAAAAGGATTGTCCCCATCAGGACTTACGTCCTATGTGTCACCTCCTAGTCAGGAGTCCCCACAATGTAGCAAAAACAAGTGTGTGTGTGTGTGTGTGTGTGTGTGTGTGTGTGTGTGTGTGTGTGTGTGTGTGTGTGTGTGTGTGTGTGTGTGTGTGTGAGTTTGGACTGACCAGAAGGACCAGCCATAGTCCCAGCTGTGAGGCCTCCAGTCTTCAGGACCCAGACTGACTGTGATCTGGAACACCTGAGTGTACATCATGTGGGCCACCATACCCAGAAGACCTGCAATGAACACACACACACACACACACACACACACCCACCCACACACATTTTCGGCATCAAACAAAATGCCAACAAGAAAAACTATTGCTGTTAAAACTGCAATACATTAGGATGAAAGGAGAGCAGAGTTGCTGACTGGCTGAGTGTGGATGTTTAGGTAAAACACTAATGTGACATACGCTACATCACAGGATTTGGTAAAAAAAATAACATTAATTGAACATTTTATTCAGATTGCAGTCTGAATGTAAAAGTGCTGTGTGACCCTAACTGGCTATACTTGCTTGTATTTTAAATCAGAAAACTTGCAATCTACGTATTCTTACATTGTAAATTGATTAGAAATACATAATAAAATCAGAAGCATGACATTGTAAATATGGAATTTCAGCAAGGAAACATTAGGCAGAGTATCCAGCTAGCAAGAGGTGTACAAGCTGGTGGCTACAGCACAGCTTGGTCAGAGTTTCTGGCTGACTGCCATAGAATTTACTGGTCACATTCCTGCTCCCCAGAGGGTGAATCTTTTTAATTTTAATGACCACATGACCTTTCCTCTGGTGCCAGACTCTGGACAAGAGCTTTGAGGCTCTGTGAGTGGTTCAACCATCAGTATGTTTTCTTGGTCTTCCTTAACACTGCTAACACTCAGTACAAGATAATCTGCTCTGATAATTACCATAAACACAACAACAGTAAATCACTACATGTCTGAGTTGCAGTGCAACACATTATCAGTAATAAATCAGAACACATGTAATTATCATAATTAGTCATTATACAGTATCAATTGATTCAACATGCCAACACATCCAATCAATTAGAGATAGGGATATAATCACTCATAAACATACAGTAAATCAAAAAGCCACAATCTAAATGAGTCAGTGTGACATTAATGCAGAGCTTATACATCACAACCGCACCAACAGCAGCAGACAGCACTGTTTATTTTCTGTGTGTGTGTGTGTGTGTCTGTGTGTGTCTGTGCACGTCACGTGGAAGCCTGATGGGTTAGAACCACGTGTCTCTGTTTATAATCAGTCTCACTGAGGTTGTGTGTGTGTGCGTGTGTGTGTGTGTGTGTGTGTGTGTGTGTGTGTGTGTGCGTGTGTGCAGCATCATGCCACAGTAAATAACACCCGCCTGCTCCAGATTTACAGTTCACCATAAAGAGAGCATCATTTATTCTCGACCTTGACTCCATGACGACACAGATTTCTAGGAAATGTGTGTCTGTGTCTGTGTGTGTCTGTGTGTGTATATATATATAGATGTCTCGTACCAATATATTTACAACGTCCTTCAACTGCTTTAATGTGTGTTTGGCTTTATACATGTAGTCAACAATATACTGTACCTTTAATCTATCACACATGTTTATGTCCAAACCAACATATAGAAAGCTGTAATGGTTAGTTAATTGTATAGTAATAATATGTGTGTATGTAAAATAAAAATGGTGCCAATAAAAAAATGCTTTTAGTTTTTGTGTTGCACACAAGTGGAATAATGTACAAACTAAACACAATCGTACTGATCAGTCAATTTAAAACCACACATAACTGTATTCTGCAGTTGTTAATATTTTTCTTGTTCATTTTTTTGTGTTTGAACTAAAAAGAACAGCCGCAGTTTTTCAGACACAACACGGTGTCAAGGTTACCAGCTTCTCATAGTATGGCATCCCACTTGTGTCATGCACAGCATATGGCGGTTGGAGCATGATGGGAAACAGATAAGTGTTGAGTTCCTTCTTTATTAAAAGGAGGCGATGAATCCCCCCAGCCCACAGTTTGTTTGGCTGCACTGTAAACAGACACACCGGTTGGGGACCTGTTGTTGTAAATGCTAACCAGGACTGTAATCTTAAACATCGTAACTATACAACAGCTGCATTCTCATTAAAATGCTTAATGCACAATTTGAAGTTGTGAACTAAAAAGCAAGTACTGAAAATGTGAATTAAAAAAAAAAAAACTCAAATGTTGCAAAAACATTTATATGCATTGTCCTAACAATTAGCAGATGCTGGAAATCTGTTGCCATGTTTAATTGGAGTGATTTTGCGACAGGAGAAAACCCAGCTTTATTTGCATAACATCACTCCATCCCAGGAAATCAACAGCTCCTCCAACTTAAATAACCATATGGGTCACTTGTCCCTTCCCTCGGATACAACCCAGAGGAGCGTACCAGTGGCAGGTGTACCAGATATTTGTCATCATGGTTGAGCTAATTACTACGACTGCTAGAGGTCACCTAACAAACATAACTATGGGTATAATAAGCTGCTTGCACAGATGACCTGTGGGCTTGAGTTTTAAAGGATATCAGTCTCCATGATAAAAAAAATGTGCATTTGAGAATTATGAAATTGAATAAATGATCAGTGAAAACCCTGTAAAGACATGTAAAATGTGCTTCAAAAAGAATTAGTGGTGCATTAAAAACGTCCTCAGGGGAGGCTGAGGAGGAGGTGAGCAGTGTGCAGCGTGGTGGACGTGGAGCCAGCTTCTTGCATAACAGGTTTAGCATGAGTTGGGAGAAAAATCCCTGGCACTCAGCACAGCAAAGGCTTCCAAGGGATAACCTCTGACCCTGGACGGCCTTTCACAAATCTGCATCAGTCTCTCTCCACTCCTCTCGTAATTCTCAGAGCATTTCTGAACATGGTGTCTGTCACTGTTGTAAAATGGATCCTGCTTCCAAGTTAAGGCTTTAAATGACTGTTTATTTAAATTAGTGATTATTAACCACTGTTTAATCAGATCCCACTGAGATTAGAAATTCTCTTACACATGGAAGATCTACAAGTAGTTTCTGACAGTGCCGGACACACAGTACGGGACTCTTCCATGGTGCATGGAGATGTGGAAATTTTGTGTGCAAGTATGTGTGTGTGCGTGTGTGTGCGTGTGTGTGTGTGCGTGTGTGTTATCAGGCGTCCATCTTACCGGACAACACAGTGAAGACAGCGGCGAAGGCGTTGAGTTTGAGTCCGTCAATGACGTTGCTGGAGTGGAAAAGCTCCAAACACATCAGGCTGAAGCCGACCACCAGCAGCAGGATGTAGAGCACCTCCGACACCACCGACAACCACAACACACCTGCACACACACAACACACACAGCTCAGTTACACAAAGACAAGTAGCTCTTGGCCTTTCCAAAAACCCCAAACCAGAAGGGATTCAAATATAAAGAAATGCATTATAAATATTCTGTTTGTTTGTTTTAAGCAGCAATAATTAGCATGTACAACTAACTACATGGATTTAATAATGAACAAATTACATTATATGGGGAAAAAAAGACTTAACCCCAACCACTGAGGAAATGCTCATTTAACCGGGACTTCGACACAAGACCGGTCCCAGTTACAGTCCCGGTTAATTGCTCTTTAGCTAAAGCAGAGAAGCGGTTTATCCAGACAAACAATGGGGGATTAGTGAATGGTCATGTAGACACATTTACAGCTCATTCACTCTTCTCTCTGGGTGCTGATTGGTGGACTGAACATGTTGCTGCCCTCCCCCACCAACAGGAGCACCAAGCAGTCCAGAGAGGTACAGCCAAGTGAGAGCAGGTTCACTGAGAAATTTTACTGACTGTCTCCTTGTGGGAGAGGAGGTTTCTGCCCCAAAAATCCCCAGATTTGTCGTTGCTGAAAGCGTCTTAGAAGTCACAAAATTGTTTAACAAAACCAACCACGCTAATATTTTACTCGCCGTCAAGCAGTGAGCTTACACTACTCAATACTGAAATAAACAGCACTGACAAACACGGTCCACTCTTAGCTTATTTAACTCACCTATGTAGCTAGCTACAGCTGATAAAATCTGCCAGTGCAAAATTGATTGTGGATCTGGATATCAGTGTTGAACCAGCTTTTGTCTACCTCAGTCGGAAATCAAGGATCCAGGGTTTTAAAAACGACTAAATAATAAATCTGCTACTGCTGTTACTGTAAACTATGAGCTGTGTGAGAAAGCTTGACAGATGTAGCAACACTTACAACTAGGTGCGGTTTAATAAAATGTCTGTTATGATGATTTATTAACAGTTTTATGATCAAATAGTTTTTTTACTTTTCCTAACGATCTGTAAAATGTAAGAAATCTTAACAAATGAGTCACACGCACCAAGATACAGACTTTCTGGTTTTAAAACATCATATTCAGGCCTGTTTATAATCATTTTCCTTTTTCTTTGGATCTGATGATTTTGTGGAAACATGATCTTCTCGGCACACAGTAAATAAACCACAATGTTCAGCATCATGTTGTAGTTTATAATGAGCCTGAGGATGCGGATGAAAATCTTAAGCAGGAGTCTGTGGGAGCAGGTGTCGTCGTTCAGATGACAGAGTGTGGGATCGGTGCCAGAGGAGAAAACTCATCAAACTGAATACAGTGATGGCTTGTGGGAGAGTTCTCCTCTTATTCTGATGATGTTTTTTTACCTTTAGCTCTGCGTCGCTCTCTCAGACATGCACACTTATACAGAAATTCACAAAAAGAAACACAGAGTCGGGCTGAGAGAGCTCCTGCTCCTCTGGAGGTCAGGGTTTTCACTTGTCAAACATCTGAAGCTTTTCCACTCTGGGAGAAAAACCACCGAGACCCAAGAGCTGAAGAACCGCGAGGCGATCGAGATCTGTCAGACCTGAGCAGGTTCAGACAGAGACGGGACTCAGAGGGCTCGTAGTCTGGACTGAAGACGTTCATCTAACCAGACACTCATGTTGAAGACAGAAGTAAAGTTTGGTAACTGTTTGAGAGGAAACACCAAAAGTACTGGCAAGTCCAAGTAAGTACATTTCGCTAAAACACCGCACTTAACTACACATTTGATGTACTTGTACTTTACATGAGTATTTCCATTTGTGAGAGACTAAATAAGAAAGATAGTGTGTCTCAAGGTGCTCCGGTGGCTCAGCTGCTGGAGCGTGTGCCATTAGGGCTTAGTCCCGGGTTCGAGTCCGGCCTGTAGCCTTTTGCTGCATGTCTCTCTCTCTCTCTCTCTCTCTCTCTCTCTCTCTCTCTCCTACTTCAAATATACAGCTTGGGTCAATGCCACATGCAGAGCACTCTTCAACGGCCCTCCATTAATGCAAGAACAGCAAACTCCACAAGATAACGCATACAGCACCGAACATAAATCCTAAACCCCATAAAACAGACACCAGGTCTTTAATGATCCCAGCCATGTTCAGCTCTGCGGGTTCCGATCCACCACAAAGAGTGAACAGATGTGATCACCGGGGCTTCATCAAACCTTCTTCTTAACAGTTAATTGCAGCGTAAACGTCACACTCCTATGGGCTGTTTGACGCAGCTTGGACAAACGAACGAATACGAACAGTGGGTTTTTTTGTTTTGTTTTTTTTATATTTTTGGGAGATGAGTCTCTGCAGGCGGTGACCACAGTTGTTTGTTTTTGTTTTTTTTTTTACCATCATGCTCACATTTGACATCCACAGCAGGTTTAACAGCATCACAACAGAATATGAAGCTGATCAGTTAAACCAAAATTTCTATTTTTTTTATTTATTTATTTTTTTTGTAACATGTTGTTTTTCTCCCGTTAAAATGCCGGTGTCGCCTCTCGCCTCATGTTTCTGTCATGTGCAGAGACGGATGTGAATATTAGCTTCGACGTTGTTGCATTTTCTTCTCCTCCGGGTACAAGCTGAGGGGCGGGGACGTCTGATTGTCCTTCCTGTTCTTCTGTCGTCAGTCATTCATCAGGTGCTCGATAAGCCAGGAGCTCCTGATGAATCTTTTGCAGGATGATGATGCATCTCTCCTCTACAGGCAGGGCCATGACACTCAGAGCTCAAAACAAGGTGAGATATTTGTTTCAAATCGACCTGCAGGAGGAGCAGGAGGAGGATGAGGAGGATGAGGAGGAGGAGGAGGAGGGTGGGTTTGATATCCCCACCTGCTTGTTTGGCACACATTGATTGGCTCTTTACTGTTGCTACTCTTTACGGTCACACAGAGAGAAATAAAATCCCATCAGAGTTGAGAGAGACATTATGCGGGATGATGAACACGTTTCACAGCCCCACTGTTCCTCCTGCTCTGGCAATGTGAACACGTTGAGAGCAGAGAGGGCTCGTCGTGCTGTAACCGAAGCTGCCCTCGGGATCCACTCTCATTACCAGAACTCTGGATTTTTCTCTCCACATTTAGAAATTGTAAAACGCAGAAGCCCCTCTTTAACCGGCGAAGCTCACGACACTGAATTAAACAGATGATCTGCTCCGCTCCGTCGGGGATGGAGCTGATGTGGAAATGCAACCTGCAGGCTGACTTTTCAATTTGAACATAAGTGAGTTTGGGGGGTGGGGGGGGGCGCTACAGGATCCCTGAAGAATCAATATCGACTGCTAATTTCCTGTCGCACTTCTCTCTAGGCAAGGCGAGAACCTTATTTCTATATTCAAGTGTTTCACATAAGACACTGAGCATAATAACGGCCTTTTAAAATAGAGGAGAAATTACTATTAATGCAGCCCAAAATTTTTAATTGAAAGCGATGGTAAATCTGGAGGCGAAGCTCAGATCGTCTGGAAGTTTGTTCCAGATTTCTCAAGCTTCAACAACTTTTTGCTGCTCTTGCAGAAGTAAGCGTCACACAGCCGCCGGTGCGACGCTGTGATCTGACGCTGTGTCCATCTCATCGTGTCGTCCTGGAGGTGCTCCTCCCTCCGGCTCCTAGCTGTCATCATCTTCACACTTCTTTATAATAATACAGCCTCGAATTTACAGCGTGTGAATCAGAAACTAAAATACTTGCTTGTTTCCTACTGGTGCTTTAATGCAGGTACAGTGGAAGAAAAGTGAATCACCAGGAACCACTAAGTATTTTATTCAAAAATAAATGGCAGGTTGTATTATAAAGTGTTTTATCTGCACTCATTCATTTCATATGAAGCTTACATTTTATAGACAGATAATTCTTAAAGGAGCAATTGGAAGGGATGTTTGTTTATAGGATGTGCTCGTGTAATCAGGGGTGATAAACTTGTCAGATTTTTTTTTTTTTTAATTCTCAAATATTAATATCAATATCCGCCCCAAGAGATGAGTATTGGTTGAGCTTGAAATGATTAAAATGATAATGGTAATCTATATGTTTATAGAAACAAATGTAAATTGTAAATTGCAGATACTTGGGTTTTGGGCTGACGCTTAGATAAAAACTAGCAGTTTGAAAACGACCGCTTGGGCTAAAAAATAATTGATAATCTGTAGTTGCAGCCTTTGTCTCACTCTCCACAAAGAGCTGACTGTTTAAATCTCCAGGAAACGTCTCACACGTCTTGGTAAAAGTTTCTTTTTCAGCCCAACGTCCTGATTGTTTGAGTGAATATCCGTTTCCATCAAGCTTTTATCTTCTGCATCTCAGTGAGAATGTCCAGCAGATGGTTGGATAATTTCATCAACATGAGCAATAAAGAGGATTCTTTTTGTGCAGTGCAGTGATGTGCCTAATTTCAAGGTATTAAATAATTACAAAATCATTTCAGATGCATGGAAAAACTCCCACAGTACAATTAGCTCCAGCATGCTGTTGCGAATTATGGTGAACTCCAGCAGGAAGCTCATATCTACAGATTCCCATGAGACTGTGAATGCAGCATGAGGAGAGGACTGCTTCAGCAGCGATGACGCTGAAACATGACAAATCTGATAGTTCTGTGCTTTATGAGACAACACAACAAAGTTAAAGACTGAGATGAGAGCGGAGGAAGATCATTCAAAAGAAGAAAGAAAAAGCAGGAGAGGAGGGAGAGGGAGGAGGAGCAGGAACCTCTGGAGGCTTCGGTGATAAAAGCAGCATAAACCACTTTACGATGTCAAGGTGTAAAATTAATGTGACGGTTTCTCAGCTCAGGCCACCTGAAGGAGAAAACTGCAAACCTGCAGAGTCCGAGCAGCCGAAACCTTCACAACAAGCACACTGAGGAAAACTGTTTTTTTTTTTTTTTTTGCTATTAAAGGCTCAAACACAGCATTTATCAGTGCATCCGCTGACCAGTTATGTTGACACTTCCATTGGATTTGGACAGGTGACGTAGCCAGAGACGGTTGAGAAAA